ATTGTTGCGAGCAAAGAGCAGTTTATGAAAAGTGAAATACAAAAAAATGCAGAAGGTCTTTATTAGAAAAAGATTATAACTGTAGTTGCTGTTTTTTTTATTTTATGTGTTCTATTTTTTTTCCCAGATTTGATATTTTGAAACTTGTAAGTTTAAATTTTTTACAGATTCAATATTGTCAAATTTTGTTATGGTCTTTTTCACACAGAGTTTTAGGAATTGCCTCTTAGAGATCAGATTAACTTTCCCTTGAAGCCATATAAAAATGTTGTTAATAACATAACATCCACGCAGACAAATAGAAAAGCATCTTTACTCCAAACTCAAGAGGAAAGCCCGCCCCGAGAAGTAAAGGTGATCTTTAAACTGCAAAAAAGATCTAGAAATAAGTAAAAAATTTCTTAAATTAAGTGTATTTACCCTTACTTTGAGTATGTAAATTCAATGATTTGCCAATGAAATTAGTATCCTTACTCTTAAAATAAGATAATTAGATAATATGAACTTAAAATAAGACAATGCAATTGTTTTTTTCTTATTTTAAATGTAAATTGTCTTGTTCCATTGGTAAAGTCTCTCACTTTCAACCTCAATTAGAGAGAAAAAAAGCACTTACTTAAAGAAAAAATGACTTACTTAGATTTCCATTTTTTGCAGTGTAGACACAATTAGAAAAAAAAATTAAAACTCATTCTGAAAAAATACATTTGACTAAGTTTATTTGAAAATGATAAAATATAAAAATACATATTCAAAATATAGAACTTGGAAAACAAATAAAAAAATGATAAAATGTGAGAAAACAGCTGTTTTTTTGTGGTTTTTGCAGCACTAGTTGTTTGTTATTGTAAAATAGGCTGACAGGGGGGAGAGACGCGTGGCAAAGGATTACAGGCTGGATTCGTACCTAGGTCGGCCGCATCAAGGACAAGGGCCTCTGCAGATGGGTTATGCGCGCAAACCACTGTTCTACCTAAGCATGCCCTAACCACAGAATCTCTTTCAAAACAATTTTTATTAAGATGCTTTGTAGGTTGCACTTCTTTGCAACATTTGGTGATGAATTATATTTCTTTCTTTCTATTGCTTTCAACAATAATGGAACAAATGTCACTCCATACAGCCGTACCTCCATGGCCCTTATTTCACCAACTGATAGCACAAATACACATATTTTTCCAGCATTTCTAGAGTAAGATTAATCTTTTTTTTGTTATAAAAACACATCCTATTTCTTAAAGTACAAGACGAAACCATATACTGAAAACTGCTTACTAATTCCTCTTTTTCTGATCATTCTTATGTCTCTCCTTTAGGGTCCATCTCAGTCAACAGCCGAAGCCTGCCCTTTTTGTCGCCTGAAGGCAGTGAAATCCTGGACCTGGACAGTGATATGTACCTCGGTGGACTGCCTGAGTCAAAGTCGGATTTGATCCTGCCGCCAGAGGTTTGGACGGCCCTCTTGAACTACGGCTATGTGGGCTGCGTCCGTGATTTATTCATCGATGGCAAGAGTCGTGACGTACGGCGTCTGGCTGAGATCCAGAGTGCTTTGGGTGTCAGCAGCTTCTGCACCCGAGAGCTGCAGAAGCGCTGCAGCAGTGCCCCCTGTAGCAATGGTGGCCTGTGCAAGGAGGGCTGGAACCGTTACATATGTGACTGCACTGGGACTGGATACCTAGGAACCAACTGTGAGATAGGTGAGGATCCTGAGAAAAAGCAGCACACTCACAGACACTGTCCTTGCAATAAGGAAGATATTAAAGTTGAAATATTTGGAAAGTAACACAAGGATGTAATTCTTCCTGGTAGTTGACATAATTAAATAGCTGTTGTTATAGTTGGAGTGAAAGCTCCAGAGGGAGTTATGTCTGAACCAATTGATGCTTGAGGCTGAGTTACAGTGGGTGGCTGAGTGGGGGGGGGTGGGTTGGCAGCAATGTGGCAGTGCAGCCGGGCTTATTGCCACCATCTGTGCCTGTCACACACACACCAAGGCGGAGGAGGGGGATACGCCACAGGGGTTACAGGGTGAGCTACTCAAATAGTACCAGACTGCTTCCTGAGTAGCTCCAAGAACATTGGTCTTCTTTTTTTTTTTTTTTTTCTTTGCACGTCTGTGGAGGTGAGCGAGGCATGACGGCATCAGATTTTGAGGGACAAGGAGGGTAATGAGGGAAGCAGAGATTGGATTCAAATCAGGACAGTTGAAGCAGAGGATGGAATTTCTTTATTTGAAGGGTTATATATTTGCAGTTCAGTCCTCAGGTGCTAGAATGACAGGTGTGGTTTCTGCATCATTCTTCTGCCATCTAGTGGTCACTCAGGATTATTACTGGAAGCAGGCAGTTTTCTAACAACCACCCACGCATGAATGTAAGACTGTACATCACATTTTTAGATTGACAAAGGTAAAACAGCTCATGCTAGATACAGTCAAAAAAATAAAATAAAATGACAGTGTGGTGGTAAGGATTAAAAAATGAAAGTATTTTTGTAAACCAATGAGTTTTTTTTTTTTTCCTTTTTTTGAGCTGAATATTTGCCACTGAACTGAAGGCGAATTTTCCCTTTTTCTTAAATCTTTGATTGCAACTGGGGTTTATTTGCATCTTTGAACGTTATGTTCTCTATGTTAGAACACCTGATGTGAGTGACTCATGTTAGCCTGTGGTGAAGCATGTCAATTCTCCACACTAGATAAGAGCAGCCCTCAGGGAGCAGACTGTCAGTCTCCTCAGTCAGTTTCATTATAGATGCATTAATCACAGCTACATGTCATATTTATAGCATGTCTTTTAAAACCATAACCAAGCACTGTTGATTTTTTTTTTATTCAAGTTGAGTAAACCATACCTTAATTTAAATATTGGTCTAATTTCCCTGCTGTTCTTACGAATATATATTTTATTTTTCTAATTTTAAAGATGGGAAAATCAAATTGTTTTTTAGTGTTTGCTTCATATCACCAGGCTATATTTTTGACAGCCCAACACATGACTTTTGGTTCTTTGTCTCAACCGTCTTAAATGCATACATTTTTTTTTAAATGAATGAATAAACAGCTTTATTTCAGACAATCCAATAGAATAAAAAACAAATACAGATTCAACATATGCAACCATCAGATTTAGTCAATGACACATCAATGACTTATGTCTGAAAAGGGGTATGAAGAAGATAAACTTGTTCAGTCATACCCCTTTTCCTCCTATAGTTCTTACACTGTAAAAAATCAAAATCTAGATAAGTCATTTTTTCTTAAAATAAATGCATTTGTTCTTGGATTGAGGAGTTAAAAGAAATTTTGCCAATGGAACAAGACAATTTACTCTTAAAATAGGAACACACAACTGCATTGTCTTATTTCAAGTGCATTTTATCTAATTATCTTATTTTAAGAGTAAAAATACTGATTCCATTGGCAAACTATCTCATTTACCTACTCAAATTAGGGGTAAATAAGCTTAATTTAAGAAAATTCTACTTATTTCTAGATTGTTTTTCCAGTGTAATGACAACAAGCTTTAACTCATGAGTCCAAGCTATGCCAAAAAGCCAATAAATTAGCAAATATTTTGGTTTATCTACATCTAAACATACATGTGCACATAGACACAAGCATGCACATATCTTAACTCTTACAAATGAATTTAATTCAACATAAAAAATGACAACTGTTTCTTACACACAATATCTGTTGCTTCAGTCAAATACTATTGATGGCCAGACTTTGACTAGGCAGGTACAGATCAGAAGGACTTGAGGTAGTATTTGAGGCAAGACAGACAGTGGAATAATTCAAAGGCGTTTATTAAAAAGGCAGAAGTGCAGTAGCATCAGCTAGCACGTCTATCACAGGAACCTCTGTTTTATAAGTTCAGTCCATGCACAGAGAAGGAGGTAGGATCCAGTCAGTGGGCTGCCAACAAGATGCGGCAGGTACCACCCAGAGTGTCCCAGATGCCGCAGCCCGAGAGAACAAGCAGGAGTCCCAAAACACGTCAGGCAACAGAAGCAGGGAGGCTCAGAGGTCCAAGAATCCGAAGCAGGTCAGGCAAACCGATGTAAACAAGAACAGGTAGGCTCAGTGGTTGAGGGGCAAGTCAGGATCTGGTAATCAGAAACACTAAAGAACGCTAAAAACACTCACCACTGATATCATATGGGAACAGGCAGGCTCAGTGCTTTGAGAGGCAGAACAGGTCAGGATCAGGAAATCAGAAACATGAAGGAACTCTAAAAACACTGTCACCACTGGCTGGAGAAAACAAGAATAATTTGGCCCAAATAATTTGATGAAAAAACCTTAACTACAGGCAGGAGCAGGTGGATCAGATGCGCAGTGATTAGAAACCAGGCAGAGTTGGACAGGTGAATGAAATGAATAATTAAGCCTGTCAAGATCATGAGACTTTAACGTAATGGATCGCTGTACTGGAGGAAGGTTGACCTTTACTCCACTCTTAAGGTCTTTCAAGGTCAGTAACAGTATGTGTTATGGCTTCACAGAACACATGAATGAAATAAAAAAATTAAAAAAAGCATGGCGACATTTTATCATTTAATGCAGCGCATTCCCAAAATTTCAAGAGGTCATATTTCAAAAGTATTTATGGTCTTGTAAATTCGTTTAAACAGTAAGATAAGCAGTTAAGGCTAAAATAATGACCCTTTAAAAGACATAATTTGTGATTTAAGGGGGATTGTAGATTATTGTTTTTCAAATGGTTTACTAAAGTTTTCAACTCAACTCAACTTTATTTATAAAGCCCTTTAAAACAACCACAAAGTGCTGTATGTACCAAGTAAAATTAAAATTGTATAAAAACAACATAGCAGTTTAAACGAAGTGACAGTGGACATTCTCTGTTAAATGGTAAAACATTGATAAAGGGTTTGCACGAAATCTGTGTTTTTTGTCAAAGGGTGCCCACCAGTAAAAGTTTGGGAACCACTTATTTAATGTATAAGCAACAGAACCAGTCATGGTTTGAGCTTTGGAGCTGCAGGTTGCAGGACCTTGCTCTATCAGGTAAAAACTGTGATCCTATCTCAACACACAAGAAGTTAAAATTGCATTGCCTAAATTTTTAAATCACTGTTAGAATCTGCAATCTAGATAAACAAATAACATTGGTGCATTCAGCCATGGTTTCTAGCCCAGTGCATACAATTATATGAAATCAATCTACATTATTGTCATGAACCGAGGACAGAATGGACCCAGTATTCAAGGAGACAGTCAGTGGGCAAGTTCAAAGGGTTTATTTAATGAAAAAACAAAACTAAAGGGGGAGCTGCTAGGATCTGAGGCACGCAGCAACTGCAGGCGTGGGGGCTGGGCACCTCCCAATCTCAGATACTCTGTAGTGGGAGAAACACAGGTAAGTGACCACGATCATCTGACAGAAGATGATTATCTGAGTTGGTCACTTACCTGGTTTAACAGTCCAGTCCAAGAATGTCCCCAGCAGTCCCAGAGATCATGCAGAAAAGCCGAACCTGGAAGGGATCCAGAGACAGACAGGAACAGACAGAACAGGATCCAGATCAGGCTGGAACAGACAGGTGGCAGGATCCAGGCTTCCAGACATCATAGATCTTCCAGAAGGGTTCAGAGTCTGAGAGAGTTCCGAAGCATGACCAGGTGGTCACGCACAGGAGCAGACAGGATCAGGTGCAGATGAGCAGGCTCAGTGGAAGAGGGTAGCCAAGACAGGACGTGGAACCAGAACTTGATGCAGGACCTTTAAACTGGTCTCCTCCCTGGAGCCAGGCTTACTTGGATAAAAACTGAACCTCCCCACAAATTGAGCCAAAAACTCAGAGGACTCCGCGGGGGAGGAACAGTGGACGATCAGGAGACGAGACAAACACTAAATCCTCTTTCCACTGGCAGCTAGGATCCAGAACATGAACCATGAACTAAAACTGAACAGACAGACTAACAGAAAGACAAGAAATGATCTGGCTCTGAATGCTCAGGCTGAACTGAATATAACCAAGAGGAAACAGAGAGGAATAAATTATAATTGAGGCAGGGAGGGAAAACAGACAGGTGAAAGGAATGACTAATTAAGGGAGAGCAAACAGGCCAGATCATGACAATTATATCTTTGGTACAGGGGCCATAACTGGGGCCAGGACCAGTTCTGCAGAGGTACTGGTCCCTGTTGGTCGTTGTCTAGAACTATCCATGCCCATCCCTAATTAGAGCATCTTCATCATCATGTTTTCCACCCCTAAGAAAGAGTTATGGAGTGCAAAGAAGTACCTCCCACTTAAACTGTAAATGTGCAGCTCTCCCTCAGCGACCATGAGCTGTTTGGCTTAGCTCTATACGATACCACTTTTAAAAACAGTCCTGAATTTTATCACAGGGCACCAGAGTACACAACGCTCAATAAAAGTTAATACCTGCTTATAAATGTGTGTGAATGTGGAAATTCTATCCTACTCCCTTTTTCTCATCCTCTGTGCAGAGGCAACAGTTCTGAGTTATGACGGCAGCATGTACCTGAAGATCATCATGCCCGTCACCATGCACACGGAGGCAGAGGATGTGGCGCTGCGCTTTATGTCACAGCGGGCGTACGGCCTGCTCATGGCCACCACCTCTAAAGAGTCAGCGGACACCCTGCGACTGGAGCTGGACGGAGGCCGCGTCAAACTTACTGTCAACCTTGGTAGGCCATCTTTAATCCATCACCAATAGCGCTGCTTCCCATTTCCTTTCCCTGTCCTTTTCACATTCATCCAGCAGTTTGGCATCATATCCCAAAGCAAATAAAGATTTATATGCATTTAAATTTGATATATATTTGGCAGATCATTAAATGATGAAGAAAAGTTTCTAAATTTCGTGAAGAGGTAAATAGTTCATTCTTTAAAAGCCTTTAAAGGTGTGTTTGTATCTTTTTCTCATATGGCATACACACTGTTAAGCTCAAAAATATCCAAACCTTTGGTGGGTTTATGTGCAGCTGCAGCAGAGCGATCTTTAACTGATGCCCTTTAATATGACCCAAAGTAGTTGTTTTTATCTTCACCTACAGTCTGTTGTCAGAGCTTTTTTTTTTTTTTTTACTTTCCATCCCAATTATCTGATTGGTTCTAAACTCTCTCTGTTTACGATGTCAGTCAGACCTTTTAACTTGGACTCTTAATTTTACCACCATAATTATTCTGACTGTAAGATTGATTTCTGGCAGACAATCTGTGAAGGGAGCCAATGATTAGGGTGATAGAAGGTAGTAGCCTCGTGAGACCATCCTGATCTCGCGAGTTTTCAAGGTTTCACTTGCAGATCAGTCTGGAGACTCTCCGTTAAAGAAAATTTGGAGCCGTTCACCAAACGAACGTCCAATCTGCGTTGGCTTTGAGGCGGGTTGAGGTGTGACGCAACGAGAAGCGCGACAGTTCAGTCTAAAGAACATGGCGGCTTTAGTGTTAGCGTGGCTATCGAGCAAGTTTTATCGGAATTACAGAGTATTTCTTCACTGAAAGAAGAGCAAAACACTGCTCTGGAGGCTTTTCTCAGAGGAAAAGATGTCTTTGCTTTTCTCCCGACTGGTTTCGGCAAGAGTTTGATCTATCAATTGGCTCCTCTTCGTCGTCGCTCTGTTAGTACGTCATATGCTTTGCTGATCTGATTGGTTTATTTGGCCCGTCTATCACCAACATAGGCCAATCAGCTAACCAGTATTTTCGCCCCTTCCCAAAATTACTGCAACGGAAGGTTTCCAGATGGATATGCGGAGCAAATCCATCTGGCGGAGTCAGGGTAGGAAGGTAGCTTATCCATCTGCAAAGCCTTAATCATGAAAGATAATGTAAACATGCAAAAACCCGGTCATCTATTGTGGAAAGGTTTTTATCTTATGAAGCCTTTACGCACTGAAATGCGTGTAAATATTTTTCATTTGCCAATTATCGTAAAAAAATATGAAAGAAAAAAACGGTAGTCCTCCAAAACTTGTTTATTATCAACTGAGAGTTGTTCATGTCTTTTCCTATTTACAAACTGCTTTATTAATTGAAAATGATCTTAGATCGATATATGCCAGCTGGGTTGAATAATTTGGGGCTTAACTGTGTATCGCTTTAAGATCTGATCTCTGCAGTATTTAATGGCAATTTAAAAAAAAAATCTGGAGTTATAAAAAAATTTAGAAACTTCTCTTCCTCATATGGTTAAAACTAAAGATAAATTCTACATATAAAACCATACATTTGTCCTCTAGGTGAGCTTTCATTCTGTAATTTCTCTTCCCATTATCCCTTCCATCCGATATTCTTTTTTTCTACTCCATAAGGTCCTCAATCTCCTACTGTAACCCTGTCAAAAAGCTCCATCTCTAATGATTCTTTCTGAGAGCTTTGCGGTGACTTGCACCCGCCTCACTCCTTAGTCTTCCTCTGCTTTCCATGTTTGTTTGTTTTTTGTGGAGTTAACTTCTTCTCCATTGCAACTTAAGGCTTGAATCCTCTTATTAGGAGATTGCTAGCCCGATTAACTTGAAGAAATCTAACTGATTAGTTAAAACACCGTTTCTGACCTAGGTCAGTGAAATAGAACAAAGAACACAATGTGGAAGTTGGATTGTTTCAGATAAGAGGCTAACTACTTGAATCCGGATCTCTTGAAGGAGCAGGGAGATAAAAACACAAGGAAGTAGTGCTGGAACAGCAAGTAAAGGTGTTAAAACCAAGCGTTCACTCTTCCTTGTAATTATTTAAGCCCACTCCCTCCAACTCTTCCTTCACCTTCTTTCTCTCTGTCACTCATAATCATCCCATCTGGCCAGAACTCAGACGATGGAACTTTTCATCCCTTCAATGGCCTGTATGTCTGCGGCCCTCGGATCAAACAGCCAGAGAGACCAGCTCACAGCTGTGGCAGCTGCAGACATGCTGTGAGCTACTCAGAAGTTTTGTTGTTTTTTTTTCCAGCTAGGCTGCAAATCCAGTCTTCCTAGATCTTTGGATGTTTTTGTTGAGCCCGTTTAATATCGTTCCTTTAGACTTTAATAGTTCTTTCACATGCAAACCAAGCTGGCATTATTGTGAAACACATCCCAGCAATCTGATCTGTTCAGACTTCAATCCTCATTAAAATCTAAGTAATCAATGTTTTAAAATCTTAATTGGGCTGACACTGTTCACTGCCCGTTATCTTGGAATGAAAGCAACAGATGTCCACTGCTAAAGTGCAGCTCGACACATCGGCTGATGTCGTCCCTTTCATGTGCAGACAGATAAACCCAGTTTAGCTTTGAAAACTCTCAAAACAGCCAAGACTTTTCGAACTTGACTCTCCGAAGGAAAGCACTTGTGAAGAAGCTACACTGCATCCCTCGCCACATGTCTACACAGTGATGCTGGTCTCTGGCTGTTTGTGTCCACTATTCTGTAGCGGTTGACAGCTCTAGACCACAGCCGAGCCACAATGCCACTTGCACACTTGATCCATGTTACAGGAAAAGAAAAGCAGAAATTTAACGAATGAAAAAAGAGTCTGAAGGGAACAAAGACTCGATGCTTAAATGGCGTTTAATCCCTTTACTGAGTAGCTCTCATTTGAGAGGGTTTAATAGGTCACTTTAAACTAAGTAACCAGACTCATTTGCTCACTAAGGCAAGGGTAAATGATGAATTACCTAATTTAGACTAAAATGCTTTTCTCAGTTTTTCACATTATGTTTCTAATAGAAACTAATGCGTGTGCACCAGGCATGTGGTGGCTGGGCTGTGCAGATCACCCTCTCTGTCTTTTACTCTTCTGGGTTTACTGTTGAAGTGCTGCAGAAGGCAAGCAGAGCTTTAAGTGTCCGTAAAAGAGGTAAAGTAGGATAACTATTCAAGAAGCTATTATTTACAGCTGGAAAATATATTTCACTGTTACATAAACAAAAATCTCACTGTAAAAATGTATAAATTTAGGCAAAAATATAACTACTCTTGCTCATTTTCCACTAGTACCAACTTAAAGTGATTTGCTTCGGGTTGATTAGCCTTCATGGCTTTACGATAAGTAATGGTGTGGTCATACCAAATGTGATTCTTGTGCTCTGAGCAATCTATTTCCCAGTTATCTTTATGTTGAGAGCAGCTCAGAGGCACTGTGAGGTGTACCGGAGCCAAGGGTATGATGCTAGTGAGGCAAAAGGTATGTTTTTGGCAATTACAGCCCTGTGAGGGATGCAAAAGGAGAATTGAGCTAAAAAATATGAAGATTTGTTTATCTTCGTGTCGCAGCAACCAATCAGGTAGTAGATGTGACTGCGATTTAGGGTGAAATCGGGAAGCACAGACAGCTTTTTTCCATGAAAATGGATGATAGAGAAAATTTATTTTGATAACAGATAAAGTAGGGAAATGCTTTTAAAAAGCCATTTTAATTTAGTTTAATTTATTTAAGGATAGAAATAAGTCATTTTAGTACCATTATAGCATACCATAAACCATTATTTATATCCAGTACCACATGCACAAATGTAGCCTCGTCAGACCATCCTGATCTCGCGAGCTTTCAAGGTTTCACTCGCTAATCAGTCTGGAGACTCTCC